GTAGTTGTTGTCGTGGTTAGGCGTCGTAGTTAAGTTAGTCAAAGAACGTACACATAGTGATAAAATTAACTACTAGACCACACACACACACACACACACACACACACACACACGAGTGCATGTATAACTGATGAAGACTGAATAAGCTCTAAAAATTATACCAAAGCCAACTTCTTGATTTTGATGTTGTGCTATAATTGTGCAAGATGGCAACACTGAAGAAGGCTGGAGGAAGAGTGCATGAGAGTTTCTGTACATTCCATTACAACTTCCTGTGAGTCTATGGTTATCTCGAAATAAAAATTTCAAAAAAAAAAAAGATTAGGAGAAGTTTACAGGCATGTGGGGTGAAGGTAGAGGAGTTGGACACAGGGAGGGTTGTGGGGACTATGGGTAAGGGACTAGGTTTCCAGAAGGAACCAGACAAAAAGTATGAAGGCTTGGAACAGGGAGTGGTGGGAGCGAGGCTGGTGAAGTAAATGTAGGTTAGGGCACAAAGGGCCAGGTAGGCCAGGTGAAATAATGAGTTTGGGCTTAAAGGGTGTGAAATGTGTCAAACATGTGTGTGTATGTGTGTGTGTGCGTGCGCACACATGCACGTACACTAATGGCATAATTAGATTTATATTTGAAAAGATACTCTGACCATACTGTAGGATACAGTGGAGGTTCTTGGGAGGCTTTTGCAACCAGCCGGGCCAGGGGCAGCAAGAGTCAGGAGGAAGAGATGCATCTGGGAGATAGTCCTGTGGTAGAATTGATAGGGAAGACATACTGACACACAAGAAAAGCATATATATCCAACATTTACGAGTGTTTGGTACTACGAGTGAGGAAAGGATAAAGGGAGGCAGGTGCTTCTGGGAGAGTTGTTTTAATGATGGCCAGGAAGGGAAAATGAGCCCTCAGGGAGTTCAGATGAAGAGGGCTCTGGATGGGAAGAGAAAAGAATTATCTTTTCTCTAATTAGAAGCTTTGGAAAAAGTAGGGTATTTGGTACACAGCGTAAAAGTCAAAGCAACTGGAAGTGAGGAGAGCTTACATCACATGAGAGGGCTACATGGTGGATAATCTTAAATTCAAAACTGGAAGTTTTCATTTGGTTCGATGCTCAAATGGGAGACACTGGAGAAGTATGAGATCAGTTCTGATGCTGCTGAAAAATAATGCTTAGGAACTTTGATTTTTGCTATTGCACCTAAGGCCAAAGAGAGAAAGTCTGCAGGTAGAAGGGTTGGCAATAAGGGTCTTGAAGCATTCCAGGCACAAGACCAAAAAGAAGCAAGGTGAGGCAAGTCTGGAAAAAATTGAGAGGGTTAGGTAATAGCGGTCAAAGGAGGTAACACGCTGTGTCCATTCCTCCAGAATTCATGGGGAATGTGGAGAGAGAAATTGGTATATTTCTTTTCCTATTACTACTTCCAAATCGAGTTTTCCTCCCTCTTACCAATTTCTCCTCTTTGGAGGTCAATGCCATTTGTTTATACTACTCAAATATTATCAAAGTTCTTATCTATAGACCTACAATATACGCTTTTCCCCTTCCTTGAGGATTTTAGCACCTGGTTCACAATCCTTCTGTCTTTCCCCTTCCTCATCATCATTCTCTGCAGTTCAATATTCATTCACTCACTCAAATCTTGATTCAAGCACCTACTCTTCCCTGTGCTGGGCACTAGAAATACAGAGACAAGTAAGATACCAGGAGCCTATGGTCCAGCAGGGGAAGAAGAAAGGAAAACAAATAACTATGATAAATGCTATAATATTCCATCCATCCATCCATCCATTCACTCATTAATTCAATGAACGTTAACGGAATGCCTACTTACCAGGCATTAGGTTGAGCAATGAGTTTACTGCACTGAACAAGAGAACTGCACCTTCCCCCATGACCTGCCTAACTCTCTGACATCATAGTTTCTCTACCTTTTGAACAATAGTGATGTCCCCCTGTTCTCTGCCTGACTTATTGCTGGGTATAGCCATGTTTTGGAGGCTGATAACAAAACACTTGGAATTGCTCCACCTCTAAGACCCTGAACTCTGAGCTACTTTTTCTGTGTACAGTTTTCTCTCCTTCCGTGTTTCCTCCACTGAGCTTGCTCTCTATTCTCTTTATAACTCCTGTATCCTAGTCTTTCTCATATTTTCAATGTCCACCAGCCTATCTTTTGACCTGATGTGCTTCAGTGCTCATTTTGGAGAAGATGGTTAGTCATTTAAAATGTACTTAATTCCCTAACATGTTTGCCATTTTTGCCTTGTCAACCCTTAAGCCCTTGGATAAATCTCATGGTCAGAATTTTCTGCTCTGTTCTGCTGGAGAAATCTGTGAAATCAAACCAATTGTTTCTGCTACATTTTACGTTACAGCCCCAACTCCACAAATTCCACAAACATTCATTGAGTGATTAATACGTGCCACTCCCTCTGTGCAGCTTGGCAATTCTTTGCTTCTCCTCCAGTTGGTAAAT